CTGATTGGTGATCTCTCTGCTGTGGGAAAGGATGATCTGTTTTATGCTTTAGCTCTGAAATTCACTGTTTGTGTGGGGGAGGGATATGTAAAACCAATTTTAGTAGAAACTTAAAGAACTGAGGACTTTTTATTCTTCAAAACCATATGCCTTTCAAGATAAATTATCTACCCCATTGGTTATGTCTATACACAGAGATACGTTGTCATGAAGAATTTCAGGTTTATATTGTCCACTTTCATGGTTTGATGGAAAAACCTTTTTCCTCTTTTCACTTTTCACGGGAAAGGGAGCTATTTTGTTGTCTCTTACAGGAAACTATTATAGATTCTAAATATTTAAATACAATCCTTCCAGGTTGTATCTTGGGTATATGTTATTTTCTCTCCTTTCAAGAGTAATTTCTTCTTGAAAAATGCTTTTTATTGGGTATTGGTTAGTATGAGGGGATTATTGTTGATTTTGTTAGATGTGCAACAATATTGTGGTTATGTGGCAAAATATCCTTGTTTTTTAGAGATATATAATAAAGTATTTAGGGGTTAAATGTCATGATTATTGTAATTTTCTTTAAAATTCTGTATCATAAGAATAATATAAGGTAAAATAGAAGCCATTGTTGCATCTAATCAGTGGATGTTTGTGTATTCATTACACCATTCTCCGTACTGTATGTTTGTAATTTCCATAATAAAGAGACAAAAAAATGACTTTCAATAAAAATGAAAAAAATATGTATGAGACTTGTGGACTCCTGACTTCCTGAAAATGGGAGGGGATTTTTTTTCTTACAGACTAATTTTGGAGGATTCTTTGTATTCTTTCCAGTCATTTTAAACTTATTTCTTAAAATGTGTATTCATACAGCTATAAAGCATGAAATGCTCTATTGCACAGTAAAGCTTTTTTTTTAGTAGTTTGGTACATTTTTAACCATTAAATAAGTATCCCTAAAATTGAGACCAAGGTTTATATCACTAAAACTGAAACCAAAGTTTCAGATGATAAAGTGTGCCTAAAAATATAAGGCTTAGATCCCAGTCATTTATCTTCTGATCACATACAGAAAATTTGTTTCAAAAATTTAATATATACACATTATATGCACTTGGTATTAAAATTTCCTGGTAGTCTTAAATTTGATTAAAACCCCAAAATGTGTATAAATGTGTATGAAAATATTAATCACTGATAATTATTTTTCTTGTTTGGGGTAAGAATAGGAACTAAGTTAACCATGTCATTGCTTGAGTAAAACACTCTGTTTGCATTTCTCCTGATTACTACTGTGTAATATCTCAAACAGGGAACTTAACTGCTTAAAAAGGAATTCTTTTAAATTTCATTGAAATATATATTCATTCGTTGAACTGTGTATGTACATATATATCCAACTTGGTATTGCCTGATAAAATCATATAAGAGCCAGAAAACTAGTTTTGAGATCCTCAAGGTAAAGAAAACAGTCCCAAGTATCTTCATGAAGAAGGATGACATTCTTATAGTTTCTTATTTAATAGTTTCCAAGCATTTAATGTAAAACCAGGAAAAGGGATAAATATTACAGAAAGTGCCGTGTGGAAATGAAACACATGGTATTCTTTAGGTGCCATAGATATTATTCTCTAATAAATTTTTTAAATGTATGAGAAAATACAGTAATATTAACTACTAATTAATACTCAATGTTAAGGATTTTAAACCTGATAGGTTGATGTCATTTAAAAGAGAGACTGAAAATTTGGAGGCAAAGAGTTAATGATGAAAATAATGTGTTTTTTTTTTTTTGTATTCTTTTTGGTGATAGCTCTTCTGACAGGTGTGAGGTGATGTCTCGTTTCTCTGATGATTAGCGATGTTGAGCATCTTTTTTTCCTTTTTTTAATGTTTATTTATTTATTTTGGCTGTGCCAGGTCTTAGCACACAGGATCTTTAGTTGCAGCATGCGGACTTCTTAGTTGCATCATGTGGTCTTATTGCGGTATGCACGTGGGATCTAGTTCCCCGACCAGGGATGGAACCCAGGCCCCCTGCATTGGGAGCATGGAGTCTTACCCACTGGACCACCAGGGAAGTCCCTGAAAACAATGTTTATGATGAATTATCATGTCAGTGTGTGCAGGAAGAGTCTGGGCAGAAAGTCTGAAGTGAATCGGTATGTCTTCTAGGTATCATAAGACAAGCAATGTAAACAATTCAGTTAAGCAACACTTATTTCTTTAGAGCCCATAATATTAGGCAATATATTATATGCTTTACCTTAATTTCCTCATTTAAGTATAGAGTTGCTAGGATGAGATACATCAGGGGAATTCCACAGTATCTTTATTTCAGCCGAAGAATTTGACACTTTCTCACCAGTCATGTGACTATGATGATGAAATACTGGATAAATGTGAATCCTTTAAGGTACAGTCACAAGTGGCCCAGTTTAAGGCATACTGAGAATGGCTCTGACCAACTAAGTGAGTCTTCCAGGGCCAAGCCGTTAGGCCCTCTTCTTGGCCTTGAATTCTTCAACATTCTTATTGAAAGCTATAATGAACCCCAAAGTCTTGCTTATCAAATCAGTAGATGATGTGAAGCAAGATAATTTATTTCAGGAGATGGTAATGAGGGTTTAAATCTGGGAAAAAGCCAAGGCATAATTTGGAAATAAATATAAGGACCTGCAATTAGATTAAAAAAAAAATCAACTGCACTTGGCATGACTGGGTTAATATGTAAAAAATCTGTGACTTTTTAATGCTTACTTTGAATCAAACTGATGATAAAATTGCTTTAAAAATGTCATCTTGGGATGCATTAATAAAAGTATTCTCTCTGATTTGGGGAGATAATAGCCTCACCAGACTCTTATAAACTAATCCATGCTCATTTTAGAGGAATTAAGATGCGCAAAACCAAAAAACCCTACAATCCTTCCACTCAGATAATATATATGCACACACGATGCATGTACTTTGTATAGATTTTGTAGTTGTCTTCTTTTTTGCTGAAATGTTCTTGGTGGCAGCAGAAGTGTGTATCTATGTCCTTCAATTCTTAGATTCTGCCGAATATTAAAAGGTCTTCTCTCGGCAAAGAGTCCCACTTAGACCTTCAGAGCCAGAAGGACAGTTTCATTGGCACCACCTGGGACCTTGTTAGAACTATTAAGTGGGGCAGACCAACTGAATCAGAAAGTGTGGGGCTGGGGCCTAGCTATCCTGCGGTTCAACAAGCCCTGCAGGTGATTCCAATCCACTCAGAAGTTTAAGAACTGACCTGAGTTTAACCCTTTGATTTTTCAGATAAGGAAGCTAAGCTCCAAAGAAGTCGCATATTAATTTGAGAAAGTGCATACTAGAATCTTCACGCAGTGATACCTAGGATGAAGAATCATCCCTCTGGGGAGAACTGTTTATTGGGCTAATTGCTAAGCAGTATTTGAAAGAATGCTAGGTGGAAACAAGTAATGGGGGAAGAGTCTGTTTAGCATTTAACTTACCCTGGTGGACTTAACACAGTTCCAACAGTAGCCTTTGATTCATTGAACTTTAGCCCGAAAGAAAAGTTTGCTTGATCTAATATGTTAATCCCTGAAGCATGTTTATGGGCCATTTAAGTAACTACTCCATTCCATCACTAAAGCTAATGAAGCTCTAGAGTGTGACCTTGCAGCTTTCATTTTAAAGAGCTCTTCACACTTAAGTTTGAGAACCACTAATACAGAAGATGTTTAAAGTGGTTAAGAACAAAACTAGCTGGACTGGAACAACATTTTCAGTATCCTTTAATTTGGGTTCCACAGAGAAAACACAATTTGCTAATGTGCATATAATAAAGCTAATATAACATCATCAGAGATTGCTCCAGAAATGTGTAATGGTAAGGCATTAAAGTGATTTTTTGAGAAAGTATAATATAGTTTCCTCATAATCTGGGAAGAAAAAAATGAGGAGGGGAATCACTGTAGGAGGGCCAAGAGATCACAAATACAAGAGTTGAAATAATGAATCTTGCTCTAAACTGCAAATGTAGTCAACCTTGACTTTCCACAGTACAAATAAAGGTCATGGACTTTATAATATCTCAGCAGTTGTCACGAATTTTAGTTTTCTAAGATTGCATTGTGTGTAGTAGTCAGATTTAGGAAAAAAAGATATAGTATCTAAGGAATAACAGAATAATAACTGCAAGATCAAAATGACCTACCTTGAATTTGTGTGTCATTTATCGTTTCCCGAGGTGCTTTAAACTTTTATTTTATCCATGTAACAGCCCTGTGAGGAATGAAAGTACCAGCAAAACCGTTTTCGAAACTTTAAACACGGAACAGACGAAGAAAAAAGTGAAGTTGACAGACTCAGAGAAATGACAGAAAAGGTGGTCACTGAGGAAGCGTAGCAAAGAGAGAGGGGCAAGCGCAAAAAGCTGAAGTCCGGAGGATGGTCAAAGGAGAACAGAACAGAGGCTAACCTGGCCGGGGGAAACGGTGTCAAGGGCAAACAGGTGCAAAAAAGGCCAAGGACAGGAAATTTGGGATTAGGAAATTGAAATTTATCTGTACCAGAGAGAATGGATGAGGTCAAAGATGAAGAGAAAAATGAAAAGTGGGGCGGCACTTAAAGCTGCATGGAAGTTTAGTGGGCTGATGTTATCCCTCAGGCCCATGACCATGGGGTTGGGCCCCAGGTTGAGGATAACACCGAGGGGAGTCGCTGAAGACACGGGCCAAAAGACGGCGGAGCCGGGTGGGCGTTCACGCCGGACTAACAAAGACAGCCCGGGGCGCTTCTCCAGCCACGCAACCTGCGGGGGCCGAAGGGTTAACCGCGCGCGCTACTCCCGCGCGCATCCCGGCCCCCACTCCCGCGGTCGCTAGGAGACGCCGGAAGTGGGGGAGGGGCGGGCGGCGCGACCAAGGGTGGGAATCTTTTTCGGGCTCCCGGAGGCGGAGGGAGGCGAGCGCGCGTGCGCGCGCCGTGCCGGCCGTCGCCGCGGTGACCGTCCTCGGAGTCCGTCGGCTCGCGCCCCGCCCCCGTTCCTGCTGCCCCCTCCCCTGTCGCTGGCGGGGAGTGTTTCTCGCTCCTCCCGGTTGCTGCCGCCGTCGCCGCCGCTCCTCCTCTCCCAGTCTTGGGTTTCCCTGGCGCTACTGCCGCCACTGCCTCTGCGGTCTGTATGAGGAGGAGGAGGATGTGAAGATGGCGGAGCTGCAGATGCTGCTGGAGGAGGAAATCCCGGGGGGCCGCCGGGCCCTCTTCGACAGTTACACGAATCTGGAACGGGTGGCCGATTACTGCGAGAACAACTACATCCAGGTGCGACGCATCTCCCGGCCTGGGCGCGTCGGGCCTCGGGGTGGTGAGGGCGCGTGGGGGACCCCCGGCCGGGGGCCGCGCGCCTGGGGGCGTAGGGCGCGTGGGGTCGAGGCCGCGGCGGGGATACAGTCCAGCTGACCCCCATGTAGCGGGGGGAGGAGCATGGTGGGAGCTGGGGTTGGGGAATGGGTGAGAATTCTCCGGTTGGAGGAAATTGTAGCTTTAAAACATTTAAAAAAGCCATGAATCAGCCCTCGGTGCGGGTGTGGTGTGTGCGTGTGTGTGTGTGTGGTGTGCGGTGTGGTGTGTGTGGGTGTGTGGTGTGTGGTGTGGTGTGGTGTGTGTGTGTGTGTGTGGTGTGGTGTGGTGTGTGTGTGTGTGTGTGTGTGGTGTCCCCCGCCTCGCTTCTTCCCTCGGCCGCCTCCGCACTCGGTGCCAGTCAATTTTCGGGATGGCGGAGGAGGCGGAGAGTGGCATTTTCTATTTGACAGAATCTTGCTCCCCCATATGGCAAGGGTGTGGGGGGATTGATGGGTCACCCCCATCCCCCAAGCTCTGGAGGATTTTTAAGGGGTTATATTGCTGCAGAGTAAACTGTCTCAGCTTTCTATTCATTTGAATGCATCAAAAGATCGGTTTTTGGTTTTTTGCTTGTTTTTAGGTTCTAACTGGGGATACAGTATAAGAGTAAGCTGTCCCTTGTTGGAAGTTAATGCCATTTTTCTCCCTATAGAGAGTGAGAAGCTGCATGATAATGAAATCTTCCGTCCCGCCACCTCCCTTCAATCCCATTAGAATAGGTAATTTGTCTTCGGGGAAAAAATTGGGGATTATTTTTCAGAGAGAATTAGGAAATGATCCTCATGGTTTAGTTTTTCCTGGGATGATTGGTTTGGCACAGGGACTCAGTGGTAGCGCTGTATGTATGTGTATGGAGATGGGGGATATTGGGTGAGATGAAATCCAGCTGCTCCTGGAAGAAGCAAAAGACTGTGGATTAAAAAAAATTCGTCTTTAAAAATTATATGAAAGGATAGTTTAAAACGCACGGTTTGCAAAGTTAGTATCTTTTGTTTTCTTTATAGCTTATTCTGAATCACAGGTTCTACCTCCATTTTTTCCCTTCCCATTTAAATTCTCTTGGGATGAAGGTGGAAATGGAAGAAATAAGTTAAATTGTTCCTTCACTATGGTCTTTTTTTCCTGTTCCCACCTCCATCTCTCCAGGCATCCTTCTTAACATCGGCTGTATTGGGAAGCATTCTCAAGTCTTGGTTTAAACCAAAAAAAATAGGTGTTAAAATTTACAGGTTCATAAATTTTGTAAGGACCACATGGTTGATCAAGGATAGTGTTGTGAGATTTTGCTTGATTAGACATATCCTGAACTCTGTATTTTCTTGTAGGGAATATTTGTATTGGAGAATAAATCAGACATAACCCAAGGCTTTTCCCTCCAAAGAGGCAGTTGAAAGTATGGCTAGTAGGAAAAGAAAGAATGTGACTTGGGTCAAAGATTCATACAAAAAGTACAATTGTCCATATTCATCAGGTGCTTTGCTGATACTGAGTGTGGTAGGAGAGATTCAAAGGTTAAAATGCTCAGTTTTTCACTAAATACATTTGAAAGTCTATATAGCCTGGCACTGTGTCAAGTGTTGATGATTCATACCTAGTGTCCACAGAATCTCATAGTGTAGTTAGTAGGAGAGGCTGATCTGTGAGCAAATGAATACCATGTAGTGTGTCAGTTTATACTCTTAATGGGCTGCAGGTGGGAAGAAGGAAGAAGCTATGCTGTCCTCACTCTGGGAATTCACAGTCTCTAGGAGAGGCAAATTGAAAGGACTGAAGTTGTTATTACAATCCCTTGTGCAACATATGAGAAAGAGTTACAGGTCAGAAGAGAAATTGAGGGTGGAAAACTGATTGGGTTGTGGTTATCACCACTAAATTAAAAAAAAAAAGAAAGAAACAGATTTCTCTCTCTTTGGAAGATAATTTTTTTTTATTTTTTTAACATCTTTATTGGGGTATAATTGCTTTACAATGGTGTGTTAGTTTCTGCTTTATAACAAAGTGAATCAGTTATACATATACATATGTTCCCATATCTCTTCCCTCTTGCGTCTCCCTCCCTCCCACCCTCCCTATCCCACCCCTCCTGGAAGATAATTTTTATTGTAATGTGAAGGTATAGTTCCTCTTATATTACAGTTGTTACATAAAGGTAAAAGTACCTGAATTAACAAAGCTGAGAGAGTAAAGGGATCAACAACTGTCATCTTTTTATATATTGTATACATTTATTCCAGTTCAAGAGAGAAGAATGTTACTGCCATTATTTGTCTTAGCAATGGGACTCAGAATTTAATGGGATGGTATTTTAAAATTCAAAGTATAAATACTGGTTAATAGAAATGGACTTGGGTTTTAAAATATCTTATTTCTTCAACTTAGCATCTAAAATAAACTTCACACTTTTACCTCTTAGATTATCATCTGTGTTAAGATCCAGTGGGGATATTGTTGGGGATCTCTCCCCAGATGACAACTCTTACATGATTTGTTTGTGGTAAAGTTGATAAATAGAAGATGGTGATAGTGGATTTGTGCTGACCCAGCTGCTCATTTGCCTGGCTCTTCTTGGTGACCAGCAAACTGACCAGCAGGAGTTTCGATGCTGCCTGTGACCCTGCTATAGATGAAAGTGATTTGGTGGGATCGGTGATCAAATGGTCAATCTAGCCTTATTATAGCATCATGTCCTAACCATTAGCTCAAGTTAACTCACCCAACACTCATTTTATTTTGTGGAAATATAATTTTTGCCTGTAAAGCAGAAAAAAGGCAAATCTACTGATCATAAGTAACAAATGATAAGGTTCTTTGCTCAGTGTCCTTAAATAGCTGGTTTTATGCATTGGAATATAAAAAAAATAAGGTAAATAAGAATATTCTAAATGTGGATTATATTTAGTGTGAAGATTGAGGAAAGGAAGGAAAATGGTATGCTGTCCTTCTGAAAACAAACATACTGTGTTTAAATTATTTCTATCATGAAAATGTCCTTCAGAAATATTATCTATTGGCATTAGGAGTGATCAGATAGTACCTGTATTAACACACACACACAATCTACAGGTACAGCAGAGTTGTAAGTAGTAGTTTTCCAGGTTAATAATGCAGTTAACATTAGAAATTTAAAAATCATCTTTAGTAAAAAGTTAGATGATTCTGTTTTATTTCAACCTCTAGAAAAAGTGATAGTCAAAATATTTTTTCTAAAATGTGATGATAAAAAGTGATAACTACAGTTTCCTGTTTCCCCGATTGATTTTCTTTCCTGTAAAAAGGATTAAAGTTATTGTTAAGGACTTTTTCGAGATAAATGTAAGACCTGTGTTTTTTCCTCTTCATTTATAAATATAAACATTGATTCCTAATCTAGGAAATGTCCAGAAACTTTAAAACATTTTTGATTAACTTGGAATCTACATATTTACATATGGAGAATTTTATAATAACATGGGTTGCTTTAATGCTTTGGTGGATGAAGTAAGATTATATTTGTTACTTTCCTAAAGTAAGTCTGAAAAGCCAACTTATTCATATTTATATTTTTCCTTTTCTTAGATAAAAGAAAGTTATTCCTTTTTGTGAGTGTTAATTCACATAGATACATAGTAAAATCCCGTTGTCCACTGTTTGGATTAAGAACAAAGTCATCCAGTAAAATGGCTTTGCTCAGAAGAACAGAAATTAAGAATTTACCTTAATGTTTTGATAAATGCTGGAGAGGGTGTAGAGAAGAGGGAACCCTCTTGCACTGCTGGTGGGAATGTAAATTGATACAGCCACTATGGAGAACAGTATGGAGGGTCCTTAAAAAACTAAAAATAGAACTAGCGTATGACCCAGCAGTCCTACTACTAGGCATATACCCTGAGCAAACCATAATTCAAAAAGAGTCATGTACCACAATGTTGACTGCAGCACTATTTACAATAGCCAGGCCATGGAAGCAACGTAAGTGTCCGTCAACAGATGAATGGATAAAGAAGGTGTGGCACATATATACAATGGAATATTACTCAGCCATAAAAAAAACGAAATTGAGTTATTTGTAGTGAGGTGGATGGACCTAGAGTCTGTCATACAGAGTGAAGTAAGTCAGAGAAAAACAAATACCGAATGCTAACACATAATATATGGAATCTAAAAAAAAAAAAAGGTCTGAAGAACCTAGGGGCAGGACAGGAATAAAGACGCAGACGTAGAGAATGGACTTGAGGACATGGGGAGAGGGAAGGGTAAGCTGTGACAAAGTGAGAGAGTGGCATGGACATATATACACTACCAAATGTAAAATAGCTAGCTAGTGGGAAGCAGCTGCATAGCACGGGGAGATCACCTCGGTTCTTTGACTATCTAGAGGGGTGGGATAGGGATGGTGGGAGGGAGATGCAAGAGGGAGGGGATATGGGGGTATATGTATACATATAGCTGATTCACTTTGTTATACGGCAGAAACTAACACAACATTGTAAAGCAATTATACCCCAATAAAGATGTTAAAAAAAAAAGAATTTACCTTAATGTTTTCTCTGAAATCTTTCTTTTGAATAATGGGAAAGATGTCATTAATAGCTTTCCTTTTTTCTCATTATCAGCAAGGATACTCTCAGAATTCATTAAAAATTGCAGGAAGAGTTTATAAGGGCATAACAGAATCATGGCTTACTAGTCAGTTTCATTAAAAAGTAGTTACTAAAATGATATAAAGATTGCACATTCCTAATAAAAACCATTAAAATGCATGCTTATTGTTGAAAAATTATTAGAAAATACAAATAAATATTAAGGAACAAACTTAAAATTGCCTAATCATTTTGAATATACATCTGGTATTTATACTTTTAAATCTTTTTGACATGTATATCTACGTATCATATATTTTAAAAATATTATGTTCATGTTCTATATTACTTTTATACCTT